TTGCCCGAGATTAATTTTCCATTTATGGCCCTTGAATTGAGGCCCAATATGGTATCATTCAGATTATTAAAACACCCTCTCAATTTGTCCCGAATGAGACCCATCCGCTTCATGAGCTGAGAGTCTCGGTTGTGTGGGATAAAATCCCACACACTCCTACCATTAAGATAGACACCGTTAACCCACTTTACCCATATGGTATCTTTTTTATTATGCACGTCCCAAATAACACGTGAGAGGAGGGCGTGATTCCAGATTTTAGCATTATGGATCCCTAGCCCTCCTTCCGCTTTTGGTAGGAAAATATCATCCCATGCAACTTTCGCGAATTTCCCACCCCACAAAAAAATTTTACAGATGGACACAATCCTATCCAAGATCGTTTGGGGAACCGGAAAGACTTGGAGCCAAAACGATTGGACCCCTTGGATCACCGATCGAATTAGCTCAATCTTCCCAGCATAGGATAATATCTTTGTATTCCAAGTGTTAAGGAAGTCTTGAATAATGGAAATCAATGGTGCGTATTGTGCAAGTGAGACTTTTAAGGGGGCAAGGGGGATTCCGAGGTATCGAACCGGGAAAGTACCTTGCCCATAGTCTACAAGGTCTATGATATTTTGCAATTCTAGGTCCCTCACCCCACCAACGAAGATGTTGGATTTGTCATGGTTTACTCTTAGCCCAGAAACATCCCCAAACTCTTTTAGAGCATTGACTAATATTCGTATAGAATATATGTCACCTCTCGAGAAGAGCATTAGATCATCCGCATATGCTAGGTGTGTAATACCAAGTGACGAGCATTGGGGGTGGAAATTAAAATTCCCTTCATTGGTTCTCACAGTGAGTAACCGAGAGAAATACTCAAGACATAGCACAAAGAGCAAAGGGGACATTGGATCCCCTTGTCGTATGCCCCGTTTACCCTTAAAAAAACCATACAACGAACCATTCAAGGAGATTGAATAAGAGGGAGTGGATACACACTCCATGATCCAACCTATAAATCTAGTCGGGAAGCCCAAACCCACCAAGACATTTTGTAGGAAATCCCAAGATATGGTGTCATAGGCCTTTCGCAAATCTACCATAATCATACACCGTGGTGAGATCCGCTTCCTGTTGTATCCTCTAACAAGTTCCTGGGCAAGGAAAATGTTATCAAACATCAGGCGGCCATCCACAAACGCTCCCTGAGCTTGATTAACCAGCCCCGAAAGAGACGGGGTCAATCTAGCCGCAATAATTTTGGTAATCACCTTGTACAACACATTTGTACAAGAAATGGGTCGATAGTCCGAGGCTTTTGGGGAGTGAGTATTCTTGGGGATAAGTGCTATCACAGTATGGTTGATCTGTTTAAGCATTTTTCCCGTTCGAAAAAACTCCTTAATAGCCCGTATCATGTCCTTCCCCACAATGCTCCAGTTGGCTTTAAAGAAAGCCGAGGAGAACCCATCAGGTCCCGGTGCCTTATCATCCCCAATATCGAACAAGGCATCTTTAATTTTCTTATCCGTTATCGGAGCAAGAAGGCCATCATGAGCAAGTGGCTCAATAAGAGGACCAGTACCTAAAACCGAATGGTCCAGGTCAAGGGTATCAATATGAGATCCAAACAAATCAACAAAGAAATTTACAAATACATCGCCAACATCATCTAAAGACTTGGTAAGACTTCCGTCTTCAAGCGTGACCGAGGAGATTGTATTCCGAGCAGCATTCCTCTTCACAATGCCATGAAAGTAACGCGTGCCTTTGTCCGCATCCAGTATGTGCTTTGCTTTGACCCGTTGTTGGAAAAAACAAGCTTCGGCCTCCCCTAGAAACATCGCTTTTTTCTTAGCTAATAGCAAATGTTCTCTAAGCTCCTCATCCATCGGAGAATCCATCATCATTTTGTTCAATCGTTTGAAGTCTTCCTTCGCCATTTTTGCTTTTGCCGAGATATGCCCAAACTCCGCATTGTTAAGCTTCTTTAATGGAGCTTTCAACGACTTAAGCTTCTTGACAAACACGTATTGGGCTGTACCATGAACAAATACACTCCAGTTCTGCAACACTATATTAGCAAAGTCACAATGTTTAATCCACATATTAAAGAATTTAAATGGTTTCGACCTTAAAGAGGAGTTTAGGAGTATTGATGTTACGGAAGCCGCATGATCAAACTCTACCTCCATTTCATAGAAATGGGCCTTACACACAATTCCTTTTTGTCCCCATACATCATTCATAAGTACTCTATCAAGTTTAGCCCATAAAGAGCCCCTATTCCACGTGAAAAATTCTCCCGTGGATGGAGCATCATTAAGGTTAGCCAAGGTTTTAAAATCAACCAAGTCTTGCATCAAATAAGCCGAGGGTGGGTTGGACCCCAACCTCTCATTTGGAGCACAAACACAGTTAAAATCACCTACAACTAGCCATGGTTCCGTGAAATGGCAACCTAGATTAGTAAGATAATTCCATAAATTTTTGCGCTCCAAGACAGTATAAAGCGGATAGACAAAAGTGACCAAGAAAGTGGTTTGTGTAATACGGCACACACACTCAAGATGTATATGTTGGCTCTGGATCTCACGTACTACACAGGATAGGAGCCCAGGGTTCCACATAACCACCATTCGGCCACCAACAATAAAATCAAGATTAGTTTCGAATAGCCAACCAGGCCATTTATTAGAGACATAATTTGAAATTTTTTCCTTAGCCATTTTTGTTTCCAAAAAACCACACAAAGAAATCTTATTTAATTTAATAAAATTCCTAACTATATTATGCTTAGAGGATTTATTTAATCCTCTAACATTCCAGGAAGCAACATTAATCATAAAACGGAAAAGAAGACCTACGCAAACCTCACGCAACTCAAGAGAGATATAGGTCCGAAGCATATGCTTCATCTTCGGGGTCTACTCCCTTATCCTTCTTTTCTTTCCTCGCTCTTTTCCTCATTTCTTTCAAATACTTCTTGTTCTTGTCTTGGTTAGGGTCAAAAAACGATAAAACACGATTAATAAATGCATTTTTATCAAAATCATACCAGTCACCATTTTTTTTGACCTCCGGACAGCTAAGGAGCAGGTCTTCAGTGAAGTTGACCCCATTATCATCCCACTCGGTTGCCTCCAAATTCGGCCCCAACCTAACAATATTCACACCCTTTGGTACTTGATCCGTTTCCCACGCGTATGCAACTGTTTTGCCTTGCTCATTCACAGTAAAAATGGTGATAACATCATCATAGCCCATCTCATACATGTTAGTTACCAGGTAACCTTTACCCCTGTTGACAGTTTGGTCCCCACGTGATTCATCATATGCCTTAGCCGGGACGGCAGATTCTTCAATGGAGCTAGGTTGTTTAGCTTTCAAGAAATCTACATTAATCTTAGCCTGCGGATCAAAGAAACACCCAACATTAAGATAAAAAATTTCTTTATTAAAATTATACCATTTGAAGGTTCTCTTCACCCCGGGCAGAGCTGCCAGGCATGGATCTGTGAAGGAAATGGCAGAGATATTTGGGTTGTCTTGTCTTTGGAGATCATGTCCCAGCCTGGCCACCACAATATAGCTTTTGATTTGGTGTCTCTTTTTAACAAAAGCAATATGAGCACCATCTTCCTTTGTGACAAATTTGTTGACAATATCATCCTTTTCCATTTCATGCATACTAACAATACGGCGACCCTCCCAGTCACTTTCTCCATTGAGCTCAGCGGCAGACGGTACCACACTCATCGAATTTTTCTCAATGGCAGTAAGCTTAGCATGTGGTGCAGCAGTGGGTTGAGAGCCCTTAGTTTTAGGTCTCGGTCCAGCAGGCATTTTAGGAGCCAAGGGTATAGTCACTGCAGTGGCAGCTTGCGGCCTTGGTCCATAAACTCTAGAAGATGAGGCAAAATCCGTTGCAATTGCTTCTTTACGCATATAACTTCCTTTTCTTTTATTACGGACTTCCACAAATGGAGGCTCATCAACCACAATACCTTTACCCTTATCCATATCCGTTGGCAGCACCTTAGCATTGGCCGTAGCCCCCACCACCAAGGTCTTTTCCATATGAGGATTGAGCTTTAAGCAATTGAAAGGGTGATGGCCGTACATCTTGCAATTGTAACAATACTCGGGATAAGTCTCAAATATGACCTTCTGCATATATTCTTTCCCAGAAGGAGGGACGATTGGAAAATGGGTCACCGGAGGCTTTGTAATATCCACTTCAACAAGAACTCGTGCAAAATGGGTGTAGACAGTATCCTGTGTAACCTTATCAGTAGTGATAGGTATTCCCACTTGGGATGCAATCATACCCAGCTCCTTTGCTTTCCACAATCGCATAGCTAAATTTGGAAATTTGATCCAAATTGGCACCTTCAGAAATTCCATGCTATCAACCGAGAAGTCTTCAGAAAGTTCTTTTAGGAACATGGTTTTCCCAAAGAGAACATAGGGGCCTTCACTTAACACTTTCAACCTATCTTCCTCACTCTTGAATTTAAATATCACCCATCCTTTGCTATGTGTTTTGATATCAACTTGAACTCCCCATTTTGAAGCCATATCATATATGGCTTTGAGCCCTGGAAATCTGCCAGAGAAATGCCCAACAAGACAGTAACCCCAAACTTCAATTAAAGTAGGAACTTTGAGGTGGGAGAAATCTAGTTTTTCCCCCGTAGGAGGGAAATACTCCAGTTTAAGACCATTTGATGGTGCCCTGTTATCCCGGAAAAGAGAGGACCATTGTTTGTTCCTGTCTTCCTTATGGTGATTCACACTAGGTGTTGCATCCTTCTTAGCTAGAAGCCCAACCGATTCAGTATCTTTTGAGCCAAGAGAGACAGAGGCATCCGGTTCAGCTTGAGTGCTAACAAGGTCTTCACCCGAGGTCTCAGTAAGAGGAGCAATGAGATCATGGGTAGGAATGACTGCCAGAGACAGTTCCTGCGCCCTAGTAGCTTTAGAAGAGGCAGAACCCCAAGAGGTAGCCCCAACTGACCCCTGTGATGCCTGTGACTCTTCTGCATGAATCAGAGCCTTTACAGGTGTCTGAATAGGCGAAACAGAGGCCTTGAAGGACAGAGGAAGAGTTTCAGGTGGTATAGCCTCCCCCACAGTTCCTTGCTTCTTCATTTTCTCTGCCAAGGCTTCCCTAGTCTCCTGTTCTCTAATTGTATTAGCAATTTCAGCATTTGCACCTCCCAATAATGCCTCCGCATAAGAACCTACGACACCTAACCCCTGAGAAGCTACTGCTTTAGTTGGAGGGAGCACAGGTGTTGTTGATGCAGCATCAATATTGCCAAGTCCCTCTTCCTTATCCGGGTCAGGAAGCTCCTCAATGCAACTAATCAGTCCAGCATCCCCAGTTGACACCTCAGTATGAGTTTCAACTCCCAGCATCTCAGTAGCTTCAGTGGAGTTAGAAGAAAAAACAGGAGCATCAATAGGTAAAACCTCCTTGAACACTCCTTTCTTTATCATATTCTCAGCTTGAATTGCAGCTTTGGCAGCTTGCTTTTCGTTGAGATACTTTATTTTTTGCTCGAACAGTTTATCCTTTGCAGGAGGGGTCCTCTGCTGCTTATTTTTCTTTGTCATGGAGAATAACTAAAGAAAAAACCAGAAATATAACTTAAGGGGTAATCCCCTTAGTTCAGGTTAGCAGCCTGCATAGTTAGTATGAGCAAAACAACAAGTATGAACTGCTTAGAGCAGTAAAACAAGCACTGCACTTGTGTGGTTAGTAATCGGAAATGATAGTCTGATCAACAGGGAGGCACCGAGTAAAGACCTCATAGTATAGCCAGATAACAATAAAAAGCACAGACAAGATGCTCAAAACAAGTATCGGTAACTCAAGAAAATCAATAGTAATCAAAGCCCCAATTCCTGTCCCATACTGAACCAAAGTGCTTAAATTAAATGGCTTCGTTTCACCAAGATAAGTCCCACACTGGCTTTGAATTTGAGAGTAATCGTCAGAACTTGAAGAAATCTGGAATTCCCTAGTCTGCGATGAACAGTACTTGTTTTCAGCAATTCCCACGTTTCTCAAGTTACAGTGTGAAATGAGGGATGAGACCAGGCCGGGGAGGTACGCCAGAGGGCGGCGACCCCCAGACAATCTTCCTTCTTCTCACTCAATCGCCCGATTTGTAGGAGAAATCAGAATGCACAAATCTGAGGTGACCAGTGCTTTTCGCGAACTCTAGCACCGAAATTCCTCTCTTAAACTCTAGTAATCGATTTCTATGAAATCCAACTGATAGATAAGATAGAGATTCGAATTCCTAGCTGAGAGACTGAAGAAATCTGGAAATAATCGTGAAAAAAAAATCTAAGAGAGCAAGAGCAGTTCGTGCGATCCAGGTATTTCCGCCCGTTGGTGCGTGAAAAGCCTAGAGAGAAGCAAGAGCGTTCTCAACGCATCTACAAACTCTTCATTATAGCAATAGTACATTTAGCATTACTCAGTGGTCCCAGCCCTATTTTATTCGCTTGGAGTGTGGCAGCAAACAAGTTCTTTTCTGCTTGGACTGTGGCGGCAAAACCAAAAAGAGTTGCCGGCAATTGCCTTCAATCAATTCATCTCCTATATAAGAACAACAAATCGTTAAGAGAACACCTCTCATCATCATAGGCGCAGGTGGAATTTCTTTTGGAAAGAGATAAGGAAACGATTGATATGTGATATTTCTGATGAATAGTGCTTTGCCTTCGATCATCCATCTGAACCCCAAGAGGTAGCCCCAACTGACCCCTGTGATGCCTGTGACTCTTCTGCATGAATCAGAGCCTTTACAGGTGTCTGAATAGGCGAAACAGAGGCCTTGAAGGACAGAGGAAGAGTTTCAGGTGGTATAGCCTCCCCCACAGTTCCTTGCTTCTTCATTTTCTCTGCCAAGGCTTCCCTAGTCTCCTGTTCTCTAATTGTATTAGCAATTTCAGCATTTGCACCTCCCAATAATGCCTCCGCATAAGAACCTACGACACCTAACCCCTGAGAAGCTACTGCTTTAGTTGGAGGGAGCACAGGTGTTGTTGATGCAGCATCAATATTGCCAAGTCCCTCTTCCTTATCCGGGTCAGGAAGCTCCTCAATGCAACTAATCAGTCCAGCATCCCCAGTTGACACCTCAGTATGAGTTTCAACTCCCAGCATCTCAGTAGCTTCAGTGGAGTTAGAAGAAAAAACAGGAGCATCAATAGGTAAAACCTCCTTGAACACTCCTTTCTTTATCATATTCTCAGCTTGAATTGCAGCTTTGGCAGCTTGCTTTTCGTTGAGATACTTTGTTTTTTGCTCGAACAGTTTATCCTTTGCAGGAGGGGTCCTCTGCTGCTTATTTTTCTTTGTCATGGAGAATAACTAAAGAAAAAACCAGAAATATAACTTAAGGGGTAATCCCCTTAGTTCAGGTTAGCAGCCTGCATAGTTAGTATGAGCAAAACAACAAGTATGAACTGCTTAGAGCAGTAAAACAAGCACTACACTTGTGTGGTTAGTAATCGGAAATGATAGTCTGATCAACAGGGAGGCACCGAGTAAAGACCTCATAGTATAGCCAGATAACAATAAAAAGCACAGACAAGATGCTCAAAACAAGTATCGGTAACTCAAGAAAATCAATAGTAATCAAAGCCCCAATTCCTGTCCCATACTGAACCAAAGTGCTTAAATTAAATGGCTTCGTTTCACCAAGATAAGTCCCACACTGGCTTTGAATTTGAGAGTAATCGTCAGAACTTGAAGAAATCTGGAATTCCCTAGTCTGCGATGAACAGTACTTGTTTTCAGCAATTCCCACGTTTCTCAAGTTACAGTGTGAAATGAGGGATGAGACCAGGCCGGGGAGGTACGCCAGAGGGCGGCGACCCCCAGACAATCTTCCTTCTTCTCACTCAATCGCCCGATTTGTAGGAGAAATCAGAATGCACAAATCTGAGGTGACCAGTGCTTTTCGCGAACTCTAGCACCGAAATTCCTCTCTTAAACTCTAGTAATCGATTTCTATGAAATCCAACTGATAGATAAGATAGAGATTCGAATTCCTAGCTGAGAGACTGAAGAAATCTGGAAATAATCGTGAAAAAAAAATCTAAGAGAGCAAGAGCAGTTCGTGCGATCCAGGTATTTCCGCCCGTTGGTGCGTGAAAAGCCTAGAGAGAAGCAAGAGCGTTCTCAACGCATCTACAAACTCTTCATTATAGCAATAGTACATTTAGCATTACTCAGTGGTCCCAGCCCTATTTTATTCGCTTGGAGTGTGGCAGCAAACAAGTTCTTTTCTGCTTGGACTGTGGCGGCAAAACCAAAAAGAGTTGCCGGCAATTGCCTTCAATCAATTCATCTCCTATATAAGAACAACAAATCGTTAAGAGAACACCTCTCATCATCATAGGCGCAGGTGGAATTTCTTTTGGAAAGAGATAAGGAAACGATTGATATGTGATATTTCTGATGAATAGTGCTTTGCCTTCGATCATCCATCTGACTCCCTTAAATACAAGCAGAGCACGTGATTTTCCCTGCCTTTGAAAGAAGTCAATTTTTGACTTATATGCTTTGAACAGTTTGATCTATTGGGCAATTTGGAGTGTAAGATTGGATTGGATAAATCCTTTAGGTAGATTCAATTATTTATATTCTTTTATTTTTATGATGATTCTAAGAACCTAGCATGTATTAGCTGGTTTATTATCCTACAGTACATAGTAATTATAGCTGTAATTAATATATATACGTATATATATAAATATTGGTGGCTGAAACCAGGTTATGCGTTTGTTCATATGTAGTTTCATGACTTAGTTAAGCAATTTAGCATGTTGTTAAGCTTTTTTATATGAGTCAATTCCCTAAATAGGACTAAAAAGTGGCAAAATTGCACAAATAGACTACATTTTTTAAATTCCCTTAATAGGACTATTTATGTGTGTTTGGCCAAATATACCCTTGTAACTTGTGAAATGTTTTAATTAATAATAAAATCATACAAAAATAATAAAAATCGAAAAAAATACTAAAAATCGTAAAAAGATAATAGAAAATTAATAAAAAATTTTTTAAAAAAAATTAAAAAAAAAATATTTTTTAAAAAAAAAACAAAAAAAAACAAAACAAAATCGTAAAATTAAAAAAAAAAACATTACCACCCCTGCCACCCCCCAGCACCACCAGCTCCCATCACCGGAGAAAAATATGCCAACATTTTAAATAATGCCATAATGATGGCATATTCAATGAAAATGTTGGCATATTGAAGAGTAATTATGCCATCTTTTTGACATTTTCAGAAAAAGATGGCATTTTTTTACCAAAAGTGGAAGAAATTTCACCAATCGGAGGTGGTGGTGCTGGGAGGCGGCGGATGGCGGTGGGAAATGTATCCATAATTTTTTTCATTTGTTTTATGGGTTTTTACTATTTTTTATTATTTTTTAAAAAAAAATTAAAAAAATAAAAATTAATTTTTTATTTTATAAATGTTTTATAAATTTTTTATAATTTTTTTACGTTTTTTAAATATTTTTTACGTTTTTTATGATTTTATTATGAATTAAAGCATTTCATTATGAATTAATACTCTTAGGGGTATTTAGGGTAGATAATCTATGTTTAGTCCTATTTAGGGAATTTAAAAAGTAGTAGTCCTATTTGTGCTTTTTAGGAACTCATTAGTCCTATTTAGGACAATTTCCGTTTTTATATTTCTTCTATTAAAGTGATGCTTTTTTTAAGCTTTTTCCTATTAATATAGAGTGATGCTTTTTTCTATTTTTTCATTTTGGTTGATTTATGTTCGAGCTGTCTTGAATGGAGAAATCTAATTAGGTTCATTTAAGTGATTTTAAAGAACTTTTTATGATTTTTGAATAAGCAGAATATTGAATTTCTTAGTATTTTTTTTATTGCATGAAATAAAGTGGTGAGTAATTTTTTTGCAGACCACTCACTTTTCTAGGTAGTGGTAGCTAGTAGTTGTACACGTCCATCTTTTTATTATGGTGAATGGTCATGTAGTCGTTTTTAAATACTCGTATTTAAATGGAAGGTAATTTTCTAAACAAACGATGTAAAAAGTTTGCATGTAATTTAAAAAGTGATTACACACATAACTAAACGATGTGATTCTATTTTGCATGCAAATTATTTTGCAGCCCTAAACTTTACATGCAATTATTTTACATGTAAAGTTTTAATGGGAAACTGCCAAACGAGCTCTTAGTGAAAAAAGAGTTTGTGTTTATGGTATTTATAAGGTTTTTGTTTTGTAAAATTTTCCCAAACACTTTCCAAAACAAAACTATTCCTGTACATGGATATCTTCGTAATAATTAATATCCTTTCAATTATAAACTCTTCTACTACTCCGAACATCTATAATACTTTCCTTTATTTAAAAAATAGAGTTTTCCCCTCTGTGCTTATGCATATATAAGCTTGAAAGTGAATCCTAAATACTACGGAGTATAAAGCAATCTATGATTACATTTTAAGGTTGGAATTATGAAAACCAAATACATACATACATAAGAAATTTAATCGTTAATTACTTACTATGTCTATCGAACAAACAATTAGAAAAATAGACTACGAATTGAAGTTTTTAAGACTTTGAACTTGATTTTTAAGTATGTACAAATAAACAAAAGGTACTCTAAAAAAAAAGGTGTACGAATTTACCCCAAAAATAAGCTTCACACACGTCTATGGACCTCTTTGGGTTAAAGCTCCGACAAAGAAAGTTAGAAGCGTCTTCCGCTCAGCTCTTTCACTTCTTCATATTTTATTTGATTTTTATCGAACTGAGTAACTGACCACGGATCTAAAATCATCCCTTGATAGATCCAAAACATCGTTTATAGGCACGATCAAAAGAGGATTAGAGCATCCATGAATTACATTAATAGATGGAGGTAGAAGTTTTTGGAGAATGCTAGGATTGTGTGACACGTTTATTGTTGGAGAATGGTAGAAAAAGTTGAAGGGCTGGACATTTGTTGTCCTAAAAGTAGTGACACGTTTAACTATTTGAGCATTGAAGATTGGGTTGAAATCTTGATGGGCCAATTAAATGGCCGAATTCTAATGGGTTATTTATTTTTAAATAAAAAAAACGTGTAGGGGTGGTCTAATTTTGTAACAGCACAAACTTTGTTTGATAACCTATCTTTTGAGCTTATAAACATACTTAGCTTAATTTCGTGTGTTGCAACCAAATTAAGCAGATTTAAAGTTACTATCTCACTAAATTAACTGTTACTGTAGAAGATGGTCTAATTATTTTGGGATTCACATAATTTCTTCTTTAACATATTTTCACCCCCCTGTTTTTCATGTTTACACAGGCAATTCATCCTGTTATGACTTCATATTCTATGACTATAAATAAAAGTCAAGTTCAATCTTTGTCCCGTGTTGAAAAAATCGGTATTTACCCACGAGCAGTTGTATGCTACAGGGTGACCAATCGTTGTGGTTTGAAAATTCCAGTTTTTGATGAAGATGAAGGAACCACTGACAAGACTCAAAATATTGTATTCAAAAAAGTGTTCAACAATGTTTAGGGTTACATGAAATGCATATTTACAATGTTACCGTTTCTATGTATTTGTTGGATGTTTTTGATCTTTTAAGTAATGCTTAGTACTCTATTTTTTATCATAAATATTATAAGTGTGTTTTCGTTTATTGCTTTGATTTATATCAGTATTCCATGAAGATAGATGTTGTCATCAATTGATAGTGTAATTTGAATTAGTGAGCACAAATAATTTTGAAAGAAAAATTCTCCAACCGTGCATCGCACGGGTGAGTTTACTAGTATTAACAACAAAATCAAAGCCTTTAGAATGTAGTCCTTCACCAATTACCGAGACACCTATTCGGTATTTTATCAATAATTCCAGTAATTAAGCATGGATAATGAAATCCAAATTAAGCTTCACAAGATTGTAGTTAACACCACAACAATTTTTATAATTTATCGTTGCAAATGATTGTCTATGTCGAATTTCGGATTGAGATTTTTCTTTGTAAATTTGTGTTATGAATTTATACTTAGGGTTATTGTTGTTAGAGTTATTCTGAAATTTGATCTTTATAAGGTACTTCCTCCGTTCAAATTAATTGCACCGTTTCTCTTTTAGGAAATAAATAATAGCCAAAATGACTTATGTATTCTCACTTAATTGTAAACCCATCCGGCCACAACCCATCAGGTCATCTCTCAATTCTGCCACATCTCCACCCACCCACCCACATATAGAGTAGTCTACTTTAGTTATTCAGCCTTCTCGTATCTTCCACATCAGTCCATCGTCAATTTCTTCTACACTATCTTCTGATTGCTTCGCGACCGACCTGATGTTTAATTTATTTCTCCAATTTCTTAATTAATTTCTCCAAGATGGAAGATGCGGACAATAACGATATTGATTTTGCCCCGCTTATTACTCTCGAGCTACAACCCAGATACTGCTAAATCTTCTCCTTATGTCACCGGCGATTTTCCCTCAAGATCCGAATGGAGGCAACACAAATTCGGTGTTCTAGATACTTCTCGCAGATCGAGATTATTACTAGTACCAATTTTACAAAAGAGGGATTACGTACATCAGATTTTTTTTTCCGATTCGGCAGAAAATTATTGATCAAGTTGGAATCTCTAAAACGATCAGCCACCTTCAAGTTCTCACGCATTAGATGAGTTGAAAGAGAAGAAGCATGTTAAAGGAAATTAATAAATCGCTAGAGTAGCCTGGCATACAGTGCAGGCTATTAAACAGTGCATCACTTTTTATGTACCCGAGTATTCAAGCTAAGGGTAGCATGGGAAGAAATTTACTTTTGCTTCGTTTCTTAAAATCTGTGGGTTGTTGCATTTAAATCCCGAACGGAGGAAGTATATTGGAATAATTATAATAGTAATGTATAATTATAATATACTTCCTCCGTTCCATAAAAGTTGCAATATTGGAATTTCTGCGCTATTCACACACCTTACTTTGATTACGATTTTCTAATAATATATATAATAAAAATATTATGTTTAAAATATTAATAAATTTGTATTAATGTAAATTTCCAATATATTAACTTTTTTAATGTTTACTAATACGTAAATAACTATAATTACAGTCAAAGTTGCGTGTTGACAAACGTGAAAGTCAAACTGTTGCAACTTTTATGGAACGGAGCATAGTAAATAGTGTATAACAATATTATTTTGCAATTTTGCTATGACGAGAAACGGGAGCAAGATTATGTGGCTTTTAAGAGAAAATTTAAGGAAAAAGAAAGAAAAAATGGCAAAAGTAAGACTTTAAGGTTTTGATTAAACACTTTTAATTGCCAATTATATGGATAAGAATGTAAAATAAACTTCTCCTTCAATACAAAATAGGAATTTAGAGACAAATGATAAACATGAGCATATGATGTCGAAAATAAAAATAGGAATCACAGTTCAAGTGACGTTAATAAAGATTC